CTGGAGGAGAAAAAATCGATTTAAGCTTCAAGGAAGACAAGGAAAATAAGCTAATATATCAACTGTGTCATGGAAAGACCTCCGACTACTTAGAACGACCAGCCTTCATTATATCATGAGGAAAGAGACTGGCCACAACCCCGACGACCTGCGTTCCTTTACTCGCTCAAAGTGCCTCTAGGTCTGACTGCAGCGAAAGCGTGCGTGCAAGCAAGAGGGGGGGGGGGACAGAGCGAGTCGCATCGGGGCGAAAAGACCTCGACCGCGCTTATTAAGACTCGCGCCTCGCCCGCGATAACAAAATCCGCGCCTTCCCGCCCGCTTAGGCCTCGCGTCTGGGCCCTCGCCGAGATATCTTATCGCTGCAGATATCGCAGTCATCTATTTTATGGCAATGCTACACCAACCATCTAAGACCTTTGTGCTTTACTGTGCGGCATGGAGATGTGGCTATTAATGTTCGTCTGTCTATATATATATATGTGTGTGTGTGTGTGTGTGTGTGTGTGTGTGTGTGTGTGTGTGTGTGTGTGTGTGTGTGTGTGTGTGTGTGTGAGACACTATATATATGTGTGTGTGTGTGTGTGATGTGATGTGTGTGTATATATATATATATATATATATATATATATATATGAGTGTGTGTGTGTACACGCACACGCACACACATTTAGACACATATAAATTTGTTTATTTATCCATCATTATCTTTACAATCAACCCATGAGTGTGCATTAAAAGCACCTACAAAAAAGGTTTAACAGACTGAACTTCTTTTAGCAGCTCGGGCAGAATGAGCCTTCGGTCGGGGCGTCAGAAGGGCCATTATGGGTCATCTCGTGACGGCGCGTCCCAGCGCATGATCGGCGGGGAGCGCTGCTACAATATGGATTCTAATAAATGCCGCTCTTTGCGTCGGTGATGGAAAAGTGGCCAAGTTCACGGGCGGCGACGCCTTCCTCTCGCTCGCCACTGCCGCAACTTCCTAATGACCCGGCCTCGCCGCCCGCTCGCCGCCCTCGAGTTCCCTCCGCCCCGACAACGGCATCTTATCTTTCCTCGTGCATCGTAAATACATCCAGCGTCCCTTGGCAAGGCGCGCGGGTGGGGCGGGAGGAATGCGAGAGCCCTAAATGAGTTTTCTCGACGGGAAATTGGTCCTCGTGTTCACGGACACTGCTCCCTCCAGGCGCCTCTTGTGCGCCTACAAGAGCAGAGGCGGACTCGATGGGCGGCGCCCGCGTCGCTCGTTTATGTAACTGTAATGCCCCCAAGGCCTGGCCATTCGCAGGTCAGAGAAAACCACCATGAGCCCGGACGCACAGGGCTGCGTCTGCATGCAAGCAATAATCCGGAATCCAATGAAGCAGAGCGTATGATCTATGTCGTGTCAACAGGTGTCTGATTCGAATAAGAGTGAAGTTGCCTTATTTATCGCATGACACTGACCGGAAATTCCTGAAAGGTATTTTTATAGTGAAATGTTGCGTCCGAGAACCGTAGAGTTGAGATGGCGCCGGGGCCGTCTCGTCCCGAGCAGCGCGGCGTGGAGGCTCCGAGGTGATGGCAGCGGTGCCGTGCAGACCAGCTTCGGTGAAGACTCATGCTGGCGGCGGCCTTGTTGCCTCAGCCTCACTGGCACTATTTGCTGGCGTCATGCTTCGCCTCGGCCGCAGTTTCGCCTTCCTCACGCGGCTGCCGTTCGCGCCGTCACCAAACTCCAGAACTTCAACAAACCCTGCTGCTTCAGCACCATAATTACAGTTCCCCGTTATTTTCGCAGGGCCCATGATCCGAAACTCCGCAGGCGGCGCCTCATGTTTATAAACTTTACTAAACATCTAAGGCTCATAACCTAGCTGTAGGAACCACGACGTCGACGACGCTTCCCAAAGCACGCGAGGCCGAGGTGATTGTTTACGCGTAACTGGTGTAAGAGTGGGTGCAGGTGCGCCAGCCTTTGTTGGCTTCGCATATTGTCTGGGCGGTACATGTATCTCCTCCACGGTTATGCCACTCACGACTGCTTCGTTAGCTGCGAGCATCAACATTGTCAGACCCCGGCCAATTATCAACAGCTCAACAGGTTTGTCACCATCACATCCATCAGCGTCGAGCTCTCGTTCCTCTCGCTGCAAATCTCGCCCGATGCTTGGCTCGCAGTCGGGCAAAAAGCGGCAGGCTGGCGGCGCCTCCCTCGCAGCCTTCCGTAAATGGCAGCATCGGCGACGAGGAAAAAAACAGCGTGATAAATCCTACATTATCGGCGCTCACGATCGATATCACAATTACCCTTCCAAAACGTGGGCAAAAAGAGAAAAACAAAGGTTGAAACAAGCAGCAAAAAGGTGGAAGGGAGGGAGGGATGATGGTGGGCGCGGGCGAGAGGGAGTCGGAATAATTAAGGAATGGGCCAAGGAGCAAGGAGCACGGGAAAGGACGTGCGACAGTAGGACCAAGGAAGGAGACAGCGAGGAAGGAGGCGGCGCGGGGAAAGGAGGCCGCGGCACGACGGATGTTGCGGGGGGCGGGCGGGAGGGGGGAGGGCCCGGAGGCGAGGCAGCGAGGGCTGGGAGAGGAGAGCGGTGGCGGGGAAGAGCGAGGTGGGTAAGTAACATCCTCCCAGAGGGCGTGGGGGACCTCGTCGCCGGAACCTTCCTTTGTCCTCCCTGGTAATTCACGAAGCACATTCACTACCTGCGTTTACGGGATGGAGCGCCCTCGGTTTAAAGACGATGTCCTCCCGACACCAAACCTTCCATATTTTTCCCTTCCTATCAGCGCACACAGACTGTACACCGGCTAACTGACGCTGTCTGTGAGGTTGACAGGGACGCCCATGTCGCCGTAAACATGCCCTACGCCGGATAGAGAAGTGCCCACTCCGTCATGGACATCGGGTGGGCAGCATTATGCGTCGCGCCCACGCCAGCGTCGTGTTTCACCGCCCGCGGGCAGGGCAGGGGAGCGGCGTCTGGAGCGGCGGTGAAAGAGCGCTTGCCGACCCTCGCTCAGTCGTTAATTTACGCGCAAGAATGGCCGCGTCCGGGAGGGTCGCCTCCCTCATTACGGCCTCGGCCTCACGCCGAATTAATTATCGCGAGTAGTCATACTCGACCCGGAATTATTTCATATGTCATTGTATTTGCTAAATGACTCGAACAACGTGATTAACCCGAAACAATCATAAGATCCGAGTCATTATCCGGTCACAGGGCCACGGCGATTGCACGTGAACCCGCTCTTCGTCGCTGTATGCCTTGGCCGTCGGGACCTCCGACGGGGGTCTCCTCGCTGCATCCCGTGGTCAACACCTGCGCTGGTTAGGTTTCCTACATGAACAAAAGAGCGCGCGCGCACCGCCCGTGAAGAAGGACAACACACACACACACACATACACACACACGTAAACTTGTGTTTTCGCGAGTACACACGAAAGTGGTGTGATGGCAATACTTTGAGTTGAGCCAGCCGTATGTTTTGCGCCTGGTCCTGAATATCATGGCGTGCGCCTCGTCACCTGAGGAAGGCCGAGTCGCGCGCTGTCCTTGAAAGACGTAAACACCCGCCCCTTCCAGCTTCTCCTTCCCTCTCTACGTCCTTCCATCTCTCCCTCTCGCTTCCCTTTTCCTCTCCGCTACACATACGCCCCAGGCAACTATTTCCGTGCTGTGCTCCTGCTCACGCTCCCCTCAGCATGGGCTGTCGCAGCGTGGAGACTCGGGCACACATTCATGCTGACTGTACTCAGCATGGCTGAGCCTCATTCCTTCCCTCCCTCTCCGGATAAACACCCACACGCAAACAAACCAAATTATCTAAATACAAACTTCGGTCTGAGTTTCCCCTCTCACGATGGAGCTTTGCCGTTCTCCGTGGCCGCAGGTGGAGGGGGCTGCTGCGCCCGGGGGAGGGCTGGGGGAGGACTGGGGGAGACCTGGAAGCTCATGTTCGAAATATTAACACCGTACATTTCCTCTGTAATTCTAGTATACTCGTCTCGGCGCGGACGGCGGCCGCTGTGCGCACGACAATGCTTCCTCACTCCAAGTAAAAACGAACGCGTGCATCCATCACACACGACATTAAAGTTGGCTTCGGATTCGACTTTATCTTTAAGAAGCCGTGTGTATTTGTGTTCGTTTGCTTTTGCGCCAACTTCCTGCTGTATTTTCCCTAAAAGCCCAAGCTGCTCTGGAAAATCCTTACATTTTCCGCTTCCTTCCTGCCTCCCCGCCCCTGTTCCGTCGCGGGCGAGCGCGGTGGCGCAAGTTCCCCAGCGTGCAGAGCAGGTAGTGCCTGCCCGAGTATTGCATTATGTAATTGGTGTGCCGGTACACGTGCAGCAGCGGACCGCTTGTGGGTGTGCTTCCTTGCTCAACAATTGGCGTGCTTGTCTACCATCAGCAGTGTCTCTGTCGAGTTGCTTACATGCATCAAACTGTGCCATTTTATTTACACTTGTGCGTACGTATGTGTTCCATTGTGTGTGGATATTGACAAGACTATGTTGAAATGAAACCATCACGATTATATTTTTTACAAAAATTAAAACGAGAAAAAATGCGAACATTTGAACAAAGTTTCATGTTATTGTGAGCAGCGGTGGCGGCGTGACCGTCGCCGCGCCTCGCACGCAACAGGTTATCATGGTGTTTGGACTCGATCGCCTGCGCGCAACCCTCTGCGCAGCCCGAAAAGGACAAGCTCACATGCACTCGTGTGTGCATATGCAAATATATATATATATATATATATATATATATATATATATATATTATATTTACATATGTATGTGTGTATATATATATATATATATATATATATATATATATTTACATATGTGTATATATATATATATATATATATATAATATATATATATATATATTTACATAGTATGTGTATATATACATATGTATATACATACATACATACATGTGTATATATATATACATATGTATATACATACATACATACATGTGTATATATATACATATG